AAACATGAATTCCCAAGTCACCGAACTTTACATCACGTAATTATGAAAGCAGCTATTAGTGGCAAAGAAGATAAGCAGCGGAGGTTTATCCATCCACTTGAAGTTGTTGCCTGCTCTCTGGTGCAGACAAGACATGTGAAAACAGGTACAAAGCAGCACTGCAGGTGAGATGCCTCATGGCAGCTCCGGCAGGACTCCTGGGTGACAAGGACTGGGGAAGCCAGAGAAAGACAACTCCGAGGAAACATATTCTGGTCAGCTCAGGGACTGGGCACTGGCAAGCACATAGTGACGGCCGAGGGCTTTCTCAGTGGAGAGAGGAGAGCAGGCAGTTAATGATTTAACCACTAGAGCTTTAGCGGCTTTTTCTTTAATTGATTTATAGCTTATGATGATAAGGCACATCTGGGTCTGTGGAAGCTAGAAAGGTAAAAGCGCTGTGACAACCCAAGGAAAATGGCAGGGCTGATATGAGCCTGGGAAAGAAGCCTGTGTGAAAGTGTCCCAGGGTTCCCGGACAGGGCCAGCGCGTGACACAGGCTACGCCAGCACTGCCCAACGCGATCCTGTGCGCAGGTGCCTGGCCCTGCTCTGGATGAGCTCCTTATTTCCTGGCTGCTGTATAAGAACCTGTCGACGTAGCTGTGCTGCACCTAGGGCCTGGGAGAACCTGCTCAAAACTGCTCTGGATACTGCTCCTGACAACGACCTTTGCGGCAACAGCAGGAGCTGAGACTTGGCAAAAGTCTCAGCATCTCCGTAACTCTGTCTCCTCATCCATGGGATGCAGGAAACTCTGTTAGCCCACAGCAATGGGCTGCTTTAAAAAATAATAAATATTGGCCACATTTCAGTGAACTTGCCATAAATTTAACTCCACTGAACTGAAATTCAGCATGAATTCTTTTTTCCCTGCGAGTACTAAACCGGCTACAAGAGTGTAGATTTCTTGGTGCTGACTTAACAGCAGGATAACTGCACGGTTAAAGGTCTATGTGGAATATAGATTTTCTACCTGCTTAGCTCTTTCATCTCCGTCTCCCTTTAAAAGCAAACAAGCAAACAAAACCACTAAAAATTGTACTGGAATGCTCAATTACAAATAGAACAGAGAAAAGAAAACTAAAAGAGATCAAAAGTCCTAATAAATATTATATCCACAAGGGAAAATCATCTCTCTGCTCCTACCCCCATTATGTATGGAATGCAGTTTAAAAAAAAAAAAAGAAAAGAAAAAACAGATCAAATATTTATAATGTTGCCCGCAGGCATTCTGCGGGTCTTTCCATGTATGGCCCGTCCTGATTTATGGTCCACTCTGATTCAAATAGCATGAAAAAATACACATCATAGAGTAAAATCTGGCCACATCTGGAGAGGGAAGGAAACCTGAAAGTAAGTTTTTAGCAAGGTAAACATTGTGTATGTGGAGAGGAAGCAGGAAGTAGACCAGAGTAGAAAGGAGAATTTAAATATCACCCATACATTTTGCTTTCCTATTATTGTAATTGTACTTTTGAAATATGATTCTTATATTTATAAATTAAACACATTTTCAGATATAACTTAAGTTCATGAATTCTGGTAAAAGGTTTCTAGGTTCACTATTGAGTCTCTACTTGCATTTTATAGGAATATAACTGTACTGGTAGAGCTCAGATAAAATACCACAACTTCTGGTGTGGTTAGGTTCATGCTGGAATAAATGTTCCTTATCCCGGTTCAGCCTTTTTGTTTCCTCCACAGGAACAGGCACACTGCTATAAACACTACCGCACTGTTTTGAAAGGGTCTGTGTTACATATAGGGTGGTATTTTACTACCTGAATGATTCAAATACAGTTAAAGTGGTTTTACTCTTATGCAGAAAAAAACAACACAGTGAAAATAAAAAGTTTCAAAATTTGTTTTCATGGCTAAAAAACAATCTCCAGAAAAATACTACCTCACTATGTAGAAGTTGTGGAAACATTTGGAAATGAAATCCTTTCACTAGGTAAGGTAGTTATCTGGTTAGTGATACGGAATAATGCTATATAGGACAGAGAATTCTATGACATGGCTTTTTAAAAGAATTATCGCTGTAATATAGCCCACTTCTATTTGTAGAATATTTACTCTATTTTTTTTTTGTATTTACTCTCTTTTAAGCAAAACTGACTGCTAAGATACTGTCTTTTTAAGAAGAAAATTGCAACACAATAAGATGAACCAAGGAGGCAGAACAGGAAATTATTGCAGCTAGGTTATGTTTTAGACTTAAAACTGAGTTTGGGATTAAAGCCCAAAAGCAGCATCAGAATAAGGAATTAAATGTGACAAATTTCCAGATTTTTTTTTTAAATTCTTGTTCTTACTCCTGCCCAGTCCAAGAGAATTACTTTTGATTTGAGCTTTTTAACTTTTTTTTGAGCTTTTTTAAGCTTATTTTTAAGCTTTTGAGCTTTTTTTTTTTAAGGGGGGGGGACAGTTTTAAAATTATGACTGTATTGTGAGCAGTGTTTTTCCTGCATGAACTTCCTGATCCAAAGGGTGCTGTTTCCTTTTAAATTAAACTAGATAAGACTGCAGAAATGATTGTTTCCCCCGTTCCAACAACATAGACTCTTTTTATCTTCCCAGGGTTAAGAGTTAACTACCACTCCATGTGCTGGAAAGCAGAATTTGTAGAGAAGGGAACAAAATCAGTTACAACATTCCACAGAAAAGGGAAACAAAGGACCCTAAAGGTTATGAGTCACCAGGGTCAGGAAAAGACACAGCAAGGCTTGTAAGGCTTGTAAGGAAGGGTTGCTGAACCTGCCTTTGATGTTTTAATAATGATTTTTTTTCTGAAGTGTTCCAATCACCCACAAAACGTTTGAAACATTTCCAGCGTTTGATTTGTTCCTCTGATTATCTCATTTTTGTCGTAATCTATGCCAAAAAAAAAAATCCAGGCATGATAATTTATTGCATAAGGGAGATGATATAATAATAAACACAAGGACTGGAGCCTCCCATGCTTACAGCTTATGTCTTCATATTGGCCTTTTAGAAAAACAACTCTTCATCCTTGCAGGCTCACATAAAAATAAGGTCTCTGCTGATACTTGCACACCATTTGCTTCCAATCTATTCTTTGCATTCCGATTTCTCTCTCCACGTGTAATTAAGTACTTCAGCAATTTGTTGTCTTCTTCTATGGATGAATGCTGTTTTCCTACCTATTATTTTCCTTTATTTAATGAACTATCCAGGTTTGATAAGCAAATACTCACTTTTTTGTTTGTTTTCTGTGAACAGAAGAAAGGAAGGGAATAAGGACTATTTAGATGAGACCAAATTCCCAGAGACTGAAATAACCTACATAAGTAAGGACAAAAATTAGAGTTTTTGTATTCATGTTTATTTTTCCTTCTTCCACAACTGAATGTGACATAACTGAGGGGAAGAGAAACAGGGGCTGTGAACTATGGGATACAAACACTCTATTTTACTTCCTTCTCAGGTGAGAACGATCAGAGCTGATGGATGGTTGATGAATGGCTTCTTTAGGAATATAACTAACAACAAAAAAAAAACACATATATTTGCAGAAAGCCAATTCAGACAGTCACAATTCCCACATATATGCAGGATCTACAGTAAAACAGAAATTACCCTGATTATTTCAATGAGTTTCCAGTTTGCATTCCACGTGTTTCCATGCGGCCTCCTCAAATGCTAGAGCGACTTGTAAAGGTGCCCTAGGAGCATTTTGAATCTCACAGCACTAAGTAATCATAGCATCAAGGCAATAACGATAACATGACCTTGCAGAGAAGAGAAGCAGACCCCCAAGACAGTTGAGTGCCCTAGACAGTTACTAAAGTGCAAGACAGTTCTTGAGGTAACATTAAAGAATAAGAAAAAAACCATCAAGAGCATTCTAGGAGGAGTTAAATGGGACACCAGTCTGGACTCTGTTCAGCCTGTCACCAGCCTTTCAAGTCTCAATATACTGTTGAGTACTTAACGTTTCTTACTGCAACAGTGTTCTCCTGTGGGCTGTGAAATGTCTGTGCTCACTGGTCTTTGTGCCCCGGCTTCTAACAAAGCTCCAGCGACTCCCTGGAAGGAGGGCAGGGAGAACTAGCATGTTCCCTTCTCAAAATAAGAAAAGTTTAGGTTAAGGTAATTTGCTGTGAGAGGCAACTTTGAACTGAAAAGAAAAATGAGGCAAAATGAAAGTCACTTCCTTTTTAGAAAAGAACTTGGCTTTGAGTAACAGAATTGCTGGAGAGTTCAGACTTGTGTTAGCAAAGGAAGGCTTTTCCTTTCCACAAGAAGTTTAATGCAGCACTGTGGGCTGACATCACAGCTCTCCCCTGCATGACGATTCTTTTGTTATGTTTTCTAGTTTCAGTAAAAAGCTCCTTTTCTTAAGACTGTCTGTGAATTAATAGCATTGTTCTAACTAGACTGTTCATGACAGTTTCCTCAGATCTTCAGAATAGCTAACGTCCATGTAAGGCCCTAGAGACTTATTTCTGCCCTGTTCTTCTCCCAAATCAAAGGATGTCCAGACTTTGTAGCTGAGAAAAGCTGTAGTAATGGCCTCTGCCAGGAGCCTCACAGCTGCATTTTAGTCTGGGGCAAAGAAAAGACAGCATCCTGCACGCAGGCGCGCTCATCCTCACCACCAACAGGCAATGCTCCATCTCAGTGTGACTATTTGACAACCAATCCCACAATGAAATGGCACCTGCATCCTTGGACTGAGTTGCAGCACTTCGTGTTTTTGTCTCTGCAGCTGCACCTGCAATTCACAGTGTGAGGACTGAATAGATCTCCATCTGCACTATTTAGTTCACCATACGTTGACAAACTAACATGCTCCTTGAACAGCATAGCTGTTAACACCACAAAAAGAATGTCTTCATTGCCACCTTATGGAAAAGTAGTAATCATAATTGTGCAAACTGTTTTGATCCCATTTGGCTTCACTTCTGATACCTCTTGTTGTTCCTGTTTTTCAGCTCGTCATGAAGTTATTACCAAAGAGATTCTTGAACTGGATACGTGGGAGAACCAGTGGAATGTGGCGGCCATCAACGTCCTCATGCATGACAGCTACGACGTCTGCCTTGTAGCCAGGCTCAATCCACGAGACCTCATCCCTCCTCCACCGGATTTAGTGGACCAGTAGAAGGGACTTCCAGCCCCTCCGGATTCTGCAGAGAATGAAGAATTTGGAGACACATGTGCTGAACTGACTCAGGATGACAGCTGAGCCCCATGGAGCCAGGCCTGCAACATGTGCTTAAGGACAGAATTGCCTTTGAACTGCATTTCGGGGACACTGCTGATTTTGCTGGTACATGTACTCTAGATTTCTGTGCTTGGAAGGTCCAGGTTGCCCAGCCTTGTGTCAGCCAAGGTGCGCTGTCTCTTGCAGTCTCCTATTGCACTGTGCAAGCTGGGACTTCGGGAAGGCTCTGCAGGGGCAGCCCTGCCTTCATTCCACAGTGCAACAGCACGGATGGAAGCAACAGAAATCCTTCCTCTGCTGTACATCCCGCTGAGCTCTTCCAAACTCCCTAAAGAGGCGGCTAAAAGTTACCTGAAATCAACTGATGAAAACTGGTCTGTTTGTCCCAGAGGGATATTCTATAGTAGGCTGATGTAGGAGCAGAGCGGAGGGAAAGCACAAAAGAGACAAGGAGGGCTTTGTGGTTTTTTTTATTATTATTATTTTAAACAGCCCTGTTCAGCCAAGCACACCAGCTGCTGAAAGCAGTATCCAACTCACGGACAGGATAGTCAGAGATCCCTTCTCTGTTGTCAGAGCTGAGCCTGTACTAATAGAAAACATACCGGGTTGTCTGGGAGGCTTGGTAGACCCTCGGTACCAAAGAAAAGAAGAATTCTAAGCCTTTGCATAGTTCCTACCTGTCACAAAATCTGTTCTGACCAGAACCTAAAAGTTCAGCTAGAAAATCTTTTCCCTTTGGGAGAGAGATGGAGAAGGGGACAAAACTAAAAAGCAATAATGAAACCAGTGTTGTCACACTGCTCCGCAACAGCAGAGAGAGAATAGATGTGCTGAACAGCTGATGTTTACAGAAAAGTAGCTGTTTTTATAGAAGTAGCTTTAATAAAGTAACAAAAGGAAACTCATTACCGACAATTTGGCTAGGATCACAGGGAAGAGGAGTAGTTCAAATAATGTTTCTTAAGGTGGCGTTAAGTTCATAGGGCCTCATGACAGTGAGTTAAGAGAGAAACTTAAGTGTTTCTAGTACCCACTATCCTATTTTAATTACTCATAAATAGTGATCATCTTTCTGGTACCGACCTTACAATATTTCTGTGTTTCACTGCCTGGGCACTGCAAATGAGAGCTGGAAATCTCAGTTGTGTTATTGAGTCAAAATTGCAAATCACAGAATGCTGCAATAGACAGAGAATGAAAGTCTGAGGCAAATGCTAGAGCACTATATCTTGTGCTATAATATGGCACAAGAAGGATCCATAATTCATTCTTAGCAAGAAGTTACTTTTTATGGTTACAAAACAGCAACAATAATGGAAGGAAATAATTTACAAAGAAAAAGCAGAAGCTGTCAAGTAAGTCATGCATAGTCACTTGCAGGATTTGTGCTCTGGAGCATCTCTGTCTTCTTTTAAATCATCTATTTGGCTGCAAAAAATACCATCTTCTCCTTTTTTTTTTTTTTTTTGCCTGAAAAGCTTATGACTGAGAGAGATGGAGAGGATGACCCAAAGGCCCTTTCCCATCCCTGACTTCCTTGATTCATGAACTAGTCTCCACAATATCCAGTGGGAATATTTAACTGTCTTATAAAAACAGTTAGCAGGAAGGTCACTAAAGTTTGCCTGATGACTATAGTACCACCCTGAGGATTGCTCAGGCAATAGGGGCTTGTGGGGGGAACTAAGCAAAACATGCAGAAAAGAAGTCGGTCTGTGAACCCTGTAACTAATCCTGTCTCCCTTTATGTTCCAAAGGCAGAATGAGCACTGGTCTATGCACATACTGCTGTGTTTTTACCATTTTTGTATTATCCTCTCTTTGTTTTTTCTTTCCTTTATTGATAGGTAAGTTGTCAATTCTTTAGGTGACAGCTGTGACAAGCATGAACTTCAGTGGTACTAACCAGCAACCCACTCTTAAAATCTTAATCACTCTGGTCGCTAAACACTGTTTTAGGTATGAGATCAAGAAGGCAAAAAAAAATCTGTCTTAATAAGCTTTTTTTTAATAATAAATCAATAGGGTGTTCTTCCAATTAATCATGCAAAACTGGAAACTCTTCTAAGTTTAGCTGTTACTGAGGAGGAAAGGTAACTTTGTTGTAGTTTCTCTGCAAAGCTCTCAAGTCAGCAGGACACAACATTCTTCAGTGGCTGCTCTCAGCCAAAACAGCTAAGTGTTTTCTTGCCATTACTCCAAGCTCTACAACAGCAGCTAGTGATTCCGTTTCTTTCACCTTTTCTATTTTAAGGAAGAATGTTTTAAAGTTTGTTTTGTTTTAAGCTTGACTCTGCATTATGGGCTAATTTCTGACCTCTTCACTTTAAAACCTGAGTTATTCTGCTGAATTTTGCCTTGTGAAAGGCTTAGAACATTTCAAGGAGAAAAGGAGATTTTTGCAGGCTTGCATTAGTCAAATAATGGTGGCATAATCTGAACACATATGTGGTACATAGCTGAGACGCCTCTGTTACGCATTCCAGTAGTGAGCTGGCCACTTCTTTCCCATTTTGTATATTCTGGTTTTCGGGCTGACACTTTGAGCTGACACTTTGTGGGCTGGATGAAAACTATGCAGTGTCTTAATGACTGCAGGAGAACATTGCCTGAGGTTTATACAATGGTGCACCTGGCCAGGCTGGGCAGCAGGACACAAGTCCCACGTTTTGGTGTGAGTGGCAGGAGGAAAGGGCTTCGTGAGCCACAGGGGTGCACTGAGCACCGCTCCATGCTCTCACCACAGCCTGACGGTTAGCAGGAATCCCTGGGTCTCACTTTCCCAGTTCCTTCCCATGTCCGAAAGTCCCAGCATTACATATCAAGGAGTCATTTTCTTCTAGATCAAATATCTAGAATGGGGAGTGCAGGCAGAGTAATTTAGATCCTAAATTCTTAATTCTATGGGAGTCCCATTTAGTTCATTGTTGGCCCCTGGGGTCCCCATAGTTTCTAAACTACTTCATAGAAATGAATACTTGACTAGGGCCTGAGGAAGGAAGGAGACAGGAGAAAGTATGTTGATTGAGAAATATGGATCTGAGCCAAAATCATTCCTAGAGAATGTCAATTTTGCAAATCCAGTAGTACATTTATGGGTAATCTCACATTGCTGGGAAAGTCCTTATGAGCCTTCATTTTTTTCTATTACAAATCCTGATGAAAAAAAACAAAACAAACAGAAAACAAAACTAACAGACCAACCCTATAGAATAGGAATTCCCCAAGCACGTGACCTTCACTGAAATAACAGTTTGCTCCAGCCACTTTCTATCTGAGGAATAGCTGCTGAGCTTTTAGCTGCACTGACATCATCCATACCACTAAAGTGCACACAAAGCAGCACCAGCAAGCTGTAGAACTATTTAAATGAATGGGAGGTTTGTTAAACAAAAGCATTTGTTCCAGTTTCACTAGAAATACCAAAGTGCATCACTAGTTGCCAAATATAAAGAAAAATGTTGGAGAGGTAACTGGTGATGTTGCTCACAGGGAGTAACAACAAAAATGAAACGCTCTAAATGGCTACGGAGGTTCTCCACTTTTATCCTCAACTAATGTTTTATTTGGAATTGTATGTGCATAACTGATTTCATAAGGATTCCCTTATGATTCTTGGCCTCCAATCTCACGTTTTGCACATGTGATCACAGTAACTGCCCACATGTGTAATCCATCAGACATCTGACAGTCTAACCTGCTAACATACTGTAGATGTATGTAAATACAGTATGTATAAAACATACTGTACAGTTAACAACACACTGCCCACACCGAGCCAACACACACATCCATTTTGCACGTGGGCAATACTGAGTTTATGGAAGCACCGTGCTCCAGCGGCACTGGGCCCTTCGGGAAGCCTCCACTCACAGCACAGAACGGCCTCGGTGCAGATGAAGCCGTCAGAGAGATCCTGTGCACCAGCACTCCCAAACACAGCAGGGCAAGAGGCAACGGGAGCAGCAAGACCGCAGCACCTGCAAAGCAAATCGGAACGTCCCGACACGCGGAGGAGCCAAGGTGGGATGCAAAGATCTTCCCCTTCCCTTCCTAGGGAGAGTTCAGATGTAAAAGGGCCCTAGATCTTTCCTTTGTATCTTTCCTTCCATTCTGCTTGAAATGTCTAGTGGGAATCTCCACCACCTGAAGAACAAGGCAAATAAATGCTGGCCAAATATATGTATTTTAAGTGTTTAAAATTATTCGTTAAGACTTATATTTTCTTGCCTTTCTGCTGATCTAGAAGACAGTAACATTTTTAGTAGGCTGTTTACCCAGTGATTGCTTTCTTAGCTATAGCAGTGGTTTCTTTCACCGGCTCTTCTCCTAATGGCTCCTCTGAAAATTTGTTTCAAAATTCACAGTGCTTTGAATCACCAGGTCAGAATTTCAGCTACTCTTTTGCACATTTCTGTTTCTCCCTACAGCTTTTCAAGTGGCCTGTAGCTGCAGCTTCAAAGAAAAGCTATTTCACCCCCAGTTGTGCACAGTTGGATCTACTACATTTGCAATTTGCTATCATTTGACAGGTTGGGTTTGAAAGCAAAGGATGTACTGGAAAATGGCTGAAATATAGAAAAAAAAATGTACCCAGAAGCACACTTTTCTTGGCAAATGCCTCCTCTGTATGTTTGCTACCCTGCCTGGGTGTCTGATGGAATGATTTAATAATAACCCATGATTTCAGCCACAGTGAAGGTCGCGCTGGGGCTGTGTGTTTATGCTGCCAGGGCAGAGGGAGTCAGCACATTTGGAGCGCTGGGGCTCTGCACAGCAGCCTGGCCTGCTGTAAGAAATTACCTTCAAACTAAACCGCATGCAAGTTTCCTAGGATGTACATTCATGTGTTTCATATACAGATGTATAGCATTATTTTTAGAAGTTTCATTTTACTGACAGTAGTAGGATCCTTTCTTTACACATACCTGGCA